CCTGGTGCAATGTCTCCGGTGGCAGCTGCGACGCTCGAAACAGATCGGCTACCGGACCAGCGGCCGCAGTGGCAGTGCCGGGGGCGACCCTGGTAGCCTCCGGGGGGGCAGGTCCGGGGCCCCCGCTTGCGGCGCCCACACAGCGCGCGAAGAGCTCAGAGTAGCACTGCTGCTCGCTATCGCTCAGCACTAACGGCGGCCCGGAGCCGCAGCTTCCGCCCGCCGCCACCTCCATAGGGCCTTCTGTAGGGTCCGAGCCGAGCGCCTTCCCTGGCCGAGGTGTTGGTGCCTCCCGCCAGGGCCACCACCACCGCCTCGGCCTCCGAAGCCGCCGCCCCCACGCCCCGCAGCTGCAGCGCCGCCGCTTCCTCCAAGAGCGCGCCGGCCCCGCCCCCCGGGCTTGAATGTTGTGCCTCCGCTGCGCGGCACATGGAGACAGGCGCGGCGCCGACCAATCACAGCCCAGAATCCCACCTGGGCCCCTCCCCCCAAGCCCGCCCCGCTCCGCCCCTTCGCCAGGTAAGGAACCCAACTCCGCCCGCCGCCCTCCCAAGCCTTTCACCTGCTCTGCAACCGAAGCCAGGCAAGGAGAGCAGCTGCCAACGCCCTCCAAGCCCACGCTGTTCCTGAGGGGCATCTTGGGCTCTCCACCCTGGCAGGCAAGGGAACATCTGGACACACACACAAGAAAAACAGCGCTTTTCAGGAGATACAGAAAACTGAGATGTTTTCTCATTAGGAGTCCCAAACGGATGTGGTGTCCAATTAGAAAAGGGACCAGTCACGAAAAATTGGAATACCCTTCCTCTAAAGTCCTGCAAAGCTAAAGAACTGAGATGTTCTTATGAATGGGGTCTCAGCACCATGCTAGAAATGATGGGATTAGGTCACTTTCTCGGGTATGGCTGGGATCTGGTTTTGAACCTTACTGAGAAGTGCCAGAAGGTACTTTTAAGTCCTAGAGGAAAGAAGTGGGAAAAGGCGTTTATGGTTTTTGTTTGTTTGTTTTTCAGATGTGAGGTCCATTCTGCTCCACTACTCTACTGAAATCTGGGAAACAGTTGGTGGGAGACACTATCTGGAAAATTTATGCTTCTTAAATCCATAAAGTACTGACCTCTGTAACACAGAGTCCTTGCTTTCTGGAAGGAGTAAATTATTTTTGAGACAAGATCTTTTATTAAGACTTCTGGCTCAGAAAACACTTCTTTTGGCAGGAAAAGTAGCAGTTTTTTTTTAATTTTGTCCAAAATTTGTCCAAGTTCCTACCAAAAAAGTCAACACTAGAACTCAGAACTCTAAAAACTGTGTGTGTGTGTGTGTGTGTGTGTGTGTGTGTGTGTGTGTGTGTTTTCAAATGGCCTTCTTCCCTGATGGCTATTGCTCTTAGCCGCACCTCTGTGATGAGAAAGTCTATGCTAAGTGTGGTGGCTAATGTTTGTAACCTTAACACTAGGAGGTTGGAGCAGGAGAATCACTAAAATTTTGAATCTACTCTAGCTACACAGTGAATTCCAAGCTAGCCTGCAAAAAGAAGAAAAAGGTCTGCCCCACAACAACACTGAAAAGGTCAGTATAAGTCTTGTATATTTACAGTTTTTCCAAAAGAAAAATCTGTTTTTATTTTTTAAGACAGGGTCTCTCTACATAGCAATGGCTGTTCTGGAACTCACTATGGAAACCAGGCTGGCCTCAAACTCATGGAGATCTGCCAGTTTCTGCCTCCCAAGTGCTGGGATAAAAGTCATGTGCCACCACACTGGGCTTCAAAAGAAAAATCTTAAGTACCATTGTTCTTGAGAAGAGTTGCACAAATGTAACCATTGTACATGCATGCTTCACTGCAAAACACTAACCAAAGAGGGGAAAACTCTTCGTGGTTAAACACTCATCAAAGGACCCATTAGACCTAGAGCTGGTAGCACATACCTTTGTAAACCCAGAACTCAGGATGCAGAAGCAGAAAGATCTCTGTGAGTTTGAGAGCAGCCTAGACTACTAAGTCAGTTTCATGCCAGTCAGGGATAGATATAGATACAGATATAGATAGATAGAGATGGAGAGAGAGAGAGAGAGAGAGAGAGAGAGAGAGAGAGAGAGAGAGGAATATTCCATTCCAGACAGTTTACTTTTTATTAAAAGCATGAAGCAGTCAGATGTAGCAAACACCTGTAATCCCGGTACTCCAGAGGCAGACCACTAGAGAGAAGACCCATCTCAAGAACAGTAGCAACACAAAAAAGCAAAAGCCGAAGACAAGTCAAGAAATGCTATCAATTATAAACAAACACACTTTGCTATTATAGTCAACTAAAATAAGGACCAATAGAAGGAAGAGAAAAGAAGGAAGGAGTCAAGAGATGGGGGAAGAAGCAAACAAGGAAAGGGGAAGAAAGAGATATTGAAAGAAAAAAGAAATGTGTCAACCTCAGTTATGGCCAGAGTTATACTTCCCTTTTGGACTCTGGAGAAATAATATACAGAAGAAGATCCATGGTGAGGCTATGACTCAGTAGCACAGCATTAGCCCAGCATGTGCCAAAAAGCACAAATCTGCCTTTCAGTACCACAGAAGAAAAAGGAGATTCAGCCCAAGCATGTTAGCAACTAAGTGAAAGCGAAGCTCCTATGAAAAAGTGAAAAGTGAAAGACAAGCTCCTATGCCCTGTCTATTTTTTCTTCTTTTAAAGTTTCATAAGACTTTAGCATGAAAGTTGAACATACCCAGAGGCATTTCTGTTATCTTTAACAGGAATTTATTGCCTATTATCAGGCAAACTGATCAAGTCCAAAAGAGTTGCCTGTCTTTTGTAGCTTTTTGAACACTGGCTAAATGACCTTAAGCTAAGTATAACCAGAAATGTATGTCTTCTCCTTGAACTAGCACCTTAAACTGAGTATGCTCAAAAATGTGCCTGCCCATCAAGGGCTTTCATATATGCATGTGTCCACTCCTGGAATATAATCCCCATGCTCTTTTGTTCATGAAAGGCACTGTTTTGGACATAACTCATCTTATCCAAGTAACGTTATTAACATTTCAGGAATCATATGTCTTGCCCTGCCCTTGCCTGTCTTAGCTTTGCACTCACCAGGAGGTGAACACAGGTTTGCTTACAAATGCAGAAAATTTCTCTCTTCAAAGCTTGCATTCCTCACTCCACATTTTGCGTCACAACTTCTGGGAGAGAAGATGAGCAGCAATACACAAAGGATGAAGTAGAGAGACGGTGGAGACTGTCTAGCTCTAGAGAATTTTGACTTCAAAATCTCATCACACTTTCCATGACCGTCATGGCTTCTCAGGAACATAGAAGCCATGAGATAAGTTACTCTCTTCCTACTTTTCCAGTTGATTTTAGCTTTCCTGGAGAGTACCTCCTTATCAGAGTAGTCTGCTCTCTGTGACAGGCAACAAGCCTCACTTCCCACAAGGACTCCTGCAAGAACAAATATAGGATACCATAGCCACTGATATTCTTCTAGTGGGATGATATAAAAAGCTTTACATGGTATTGTTGTACACACTATCTCATGTAAGCCTGATAGTAATTCTAAGGTAGATTAGGAAGGAGATAGATAGATAGATAGATAGATAGATAGATAGATAGATAGATAGATAGATAGATAGATGTTTGTGACAGGGCCTCTTGTAGCACAGGCTGGCCTTGAACTTACAATCTGCCTGCCTCTACCTGCTCTTTCCTGCGGTTACAGGCATGCAACACCACATCCAATTAGGAAGACACTTTCTTGAGAGAAAAGGCCTCACTTTGTATACCAGGCTGCCCTCAACTCTATGATCCTCCTACCTCCACTTGGTTTCCTGCTTGTTGCACTGTTTGGAGAGGTGTGGGTGGTAATGTGGCCTTCCTGGAGGAGGAGCATCACTGGAGGCAGACTTTGAGAGTTAGGAGCCTCACACCATTTTCAGTCCACTCTCTGCTTCATGGCTGTGGTTGAAGTGAGCTCTCAGCTTTCTGCTCCTTCTGCCATGCCTGCCATTTGCCTTCATGTCTCCCCACCACCATGGACACGTATCCCTCTAGAACCATAAGCCAAAATCAACTCTTTCTTTGGTACACTGTTTTTGGTCATGGTGACTTTAGAACAGCAACAGAGAAATAACTAACACAGTCACTATGACCAACAAGAAGGCATTTTTATCTTCATTTAGCAGGTATGATTTATCCAACTGGGCACCACATTTGGAGTTCACTTCCTTCATTACTCAAGCCAGTTCAATAAAGTTGACAAATATTTATCAAGCAGCAGGTATTACGATGTGGGTTATTACAATGTTACTATGTAAGACATCTCACATCTGTGCCTGTCAATCTATAAGTAAAATAATCCGAATTTATTGATAAGGCAGGGGGTGCTTACTGTGTAGGTATTGGAGTGCTTCAAAGAATATGTTTTTAAAAAAATATGCAAGGTATGTAGCTTTCAAGGAGTCAACAACCTCACTAGAAAAGGCAAGGATTAGCACAACAAATAAAACTAAATGAGACAACATATAATTAAGTGCTAAATTGTGTACCCCAGGCTAAGTACTGTGGGAGTTTGGAAATTAGAAGCAAATCAATGAACCAGTGCTAGACTCAACAAGAGGATTGGTGTTTGCTGAGACTAAATGGAGCTGAGAAGGGTAAATGGATGGGACAGTGGGGGTGGGGAGAAAGGGTGCTCCTGGGAACAGTAAGCACACCAGAGACTCCTCTGCAGCAAGAAGACACTAAGTGAGGAAAAGCAAACTGGGTTAGACAGCCTCTGATGCAAGCCTCCAGGATACAGGAGAGATCATAATGAACAAAGATGAAGGGGCGCATTCAGGAGGGGTCCAGGAGTAGTAATACTTAACCTAGAAAACACCGAAGGAAAAGCAGCACTTTAAAAAAGTGTTCTTGCAGAAGGCCCCGCGCGGCGCCTGCGTGCTCTGTGACCTTTCCCATTCTGTTGCAGAATTTGGTGTTGCCTGTGACCTTAGTTCTGCTGAGATGCTTCAAACCTTTATTAAGAAAGTCTGGGTCCCCATGAAACCCTACTATACCCAGGTTTTCCAGGAAATTTGGGTAGGAGTGGGGTTAATGAGCCTCATCGTTTATAAAATCAGGAGTGCCGATAAAAGGAGTAAAGCTTTGAAAGGTTCCAGTCCTGCACCTGCCCATGGCCATCACTGACTGCTCCCTGAGTCCACTCAAGATGAACACGTCAGCTAAACTGAGGCCATCTGTGTTAGATGGGAACACAGAACATCGCTGTGCACTCACCTAGTACTATTTACAATGTGGCATTAATAAATGTGTCTGAGAAGCCCCACCAAAAAAAAGGGGTTCTTACTAAACCAGTCATAGTGGCTCAGGCCTTCAACCCCAGCACTTGGCCAAAGCAGGCAGATCCTGTGAATTTTTTGATCTACATGAGGAGTCCTAAGCCAGCTAGGGCTACTCAGCTGCAGCAGCAGTAGTAATATTATTATTAGTAGTAGTATCTTTTCTAAAGAAAAAACTTTAATAATGGGTGGAAATTAATGGAGTGCTCAATTTTGACACCAAATAATCATTTATTTGATTTTAACTTTTTCTTCTTGCTGATACTGAGTTCAGGTAAATCTTTATCGGTATGAGAGGGAATTCTATTCCCCTGGCCACAGTTTTTACTCTCTGCTCAAAAGAAGAAATACTGAAGTACTACTGGCACCCCTCCTAGCTCTCAGAAATGATAAGATGAAAAAGAAATGGATCTTACCCTATTCCGTCTCTGTTTCTCTCTGTGTCTCTCTCTGCCTCCCTTCCTCCGTCTCTCCCTCCTTCTCTCCAGCCCCCACTTCTGAATTCAGGTGTGTTTATGCAAGAACAACATAGCTCACTTCACTCCTTCCGCCCTCCCCAGAATGCAAACATGTTTGAGAGCTCTGTTCCCAAATTCAGGACTTCTTGAAACTTCTCAGGTAGCAGTGTGTTTTGTAGTCTCTGACGTGAGAAAGAACATAGATAGGAATAATAAGAAGCTGGCTGATTGTGGTGACAGACTTAAGTCTTTGTCTCCAACCCAGTTCTAGCAACAAGGGAGCTAATAGGGTCCACACAGATCCCTCCTAAATAGTTATTTGTATGGCACTATTATACCTTCCCAGTGAGAAATCACTTCAAGTCATTAGAGACCAATAAAGAAGTCTTTAACCATAGCATACAACTGGTTCTGGCTAATGCCAAGAAGAACCTGTACAGAAATCTCCTCAGCTTCCATAGGTTTGACCTATAATGTTGCATTCTTACATATGCTTTTATCTGTGGGTTCCTTGTAGGTTTGGGGCCCACGAGTTCCACTTTGAGCAATTAAACACGTTTCACAGAGACAGAAACTCCAAGGTTTTGTTGTTTGGACAAATGGGAAGATTTACAATGAAAACATAGTATCGTGGTTATCTGAGACAAACCAGGGATGCTTTTCCCAGGCAGCTTTTATCTAGAGTCACCCTGCCTGTGCCTGGCAAAATGAAGCTCTTCCTGATAAGAGCTTAATTAGCTGCTGTCACTAAGGGTTGTCTTCCCCGAACTGCCAGCAAGAGGATAGTGCTCCTTTAGCTAGAATTTTTGTGTGTGTGTAACTTAATGTTTTCTAAACAAGTTTATTGGTAAACATTTTATTGCTTCCTTTTCCTCTTTCATTCTAAGCTAATAAGAAAAGGGAAGTCATGGAATTCCTGACCTTTCATGTGCCCTATAAGCCACTAATGACAATGGGACCATAAGTCACTGGCTGTCTTGCTATTATGGCTTCTTTTCCAAAGGATAATGTGCTAAAAGCTTGGTCCCCAGTGAGCCAGTACTGAGGTAGTTAACTTTTAAGAGGGTGAGTCCAGCTGGAAGGTCATTAGGATCATAGGGGCTCGACTCTCATGACTGGATTAATGTTCATCTTAAAGAGTGGGCTGACTCTTACCTTACACCTACTGAATTAGTGTGCTAACTCCCAGGACAGAGCATTAACAAAAAGCAAGCCTGGCGCTCTCTCCCTCTCTCTCTCTCTCTCTCTCTCTCTCTCTCTCTCTCTCTCTCTCTCTCTCTCTCTCTCTCTCTCTCTGGCTAAGAGCTAAAGAAAACTATCTCCTTGTTTTGAGGTTTTGGTTTCTGTTTCTTTGTTGTTGTTGCTTGTCTGTTTTTCTTTGTTTTATTTTGGGTTTGGTGTTCGATTTGTTTTGTTCTTGAAATAGGTTCTCACTAAGTTGTTGTTGCTTGTCTGTTTTTCTTTGTTTTATTTTGGGTTTGGTGTTCAATTTGTTTTGTTCTTGAAATAGGTTCTCACTGTAGAGCCCAGGCTGTCCTCCAACTTGACACCTTTCTGCCTTCACCCATGCAGCACCATATACAGAGCCAGGCGTGGAAAAATGCTTACCTTAGTTATTCAGCACTTGAGTCAACACAGAGTTGAGCAAGGACTGTGATTGGTTTTATGGACAGAATCAAATTTTCTACAATGGCTCGTGTTTCTGAAAAGGAAAGCATTCACAGAACAAGTAAGGGTAAGCCAAATTGCTGTTAACAAACAACAAAGAAGTCTTACAGGGTAACAAAATCAATTTTTTTAATCTCATCACAGCCCAACATGACTCAAGAATACTTCTGGAACCTCCATTTCCTGAGACCTCAGGTACCTATGCTAGACTCCTCGCATCTAGTAACTATAAAAAGTGAAGACACGGAAGATATTTCACAGTGGAGTTACTGGTTAGCCCACAAGAGACCCAGATCACTTCTTCCTACTTCCCATTGGCTAGAAACAAGATATACAGATAGTCATAGCAAATGGGTTTCAGGAAACGTAGTCAATCTGTGTAGCCAGGAATCAAAAAGATGGGTTGAGTACTAACTAACTAACCAGTTTCATCCCTAATTACCATAAAAATTTCAGACCTACAATTAACACCGTTGGTTCACTGCCAAGACTCCCTAGACTAGGACAGGACCACTGGTGAGCAGTCTGCAAATGGGCTACAGTTATTCTCTTTACACACTTACCTTTTAACAAACTGAATCCACTTCTAGGTTATAGCCTTAAAATTTCCAGCCTCTGCAGAAAGAGCCCACAGGAAATGACTGATTTCCATGAGTGGATATAATGCTAGCCTATAAACTGAAAGATCAATAAGGGGTGTATCAGGGGAGCATGTGGGATGATCGATGAAACAGTATGCGGGGGGTTTTCCAGGACAGCTAAGGCTACATACACAGACTCTGTCTTGAAAAAAAACAAAAAAGGGAGAAACTGGGGAGGGGGGATAACATTTGAAATGTAAATACACAAAATAACCAATAAAAATATAAAAAAAGAAAAACTAAAAATAAGGCATTGGAACTTAATGTTCTGTAGCACAAAATCCACATAGAGCCACTTCCAATACTCACTGAGGTGGACACTCTTCACATGATACAGGTTATGACAATGTAGCATTTTTTTTCTTGTTTAATTCCTAAAACACACAGCAGGCACTTCCTTCCCTCTTTGTTTACACACAGAAACAGGCTTAAGCTAGGTTAGAATTCTATTCACTCACTTATCTGTGAGCATGACACCGTGGGAGGTGGAAGTAGGAATATCTGTTTGTTTTGAGACACATAGTCTCACTTCATAACCCAAGCCTGTCTTCAAGTTATTACGATTCTCCTCTTAACCAACCAAACAGCAAGATGACAGATGCGAGCTGCCACATCGAGGCTAAAGCAGTGGGTGTGGGTTGGTAATCCTGGAGGGAGGAGGTAAATGGGCAAAAGGAGATTCATTCTATTAGTCTATGTATTTTGTGGATTTCTAAAATTTACATAATAAAAAAATTTTCAAGCCAGGCATGATGATCCATGCTTTTAATCCCAGCACTCAGTAGAGGCCAGAAGACCTCTTTGAGTCTGAGGATAGCCTGACCTACATAGTGAGTTCTGGACCAATAAAGACTACATGATGAGACCCTCTGTCAAAAAAAATGTAAAATAAAAATACAATCTGCTATTCATGAGGGAAACTTAAATATGGACCCAACATACCATGATCTGAAAGGATATTTTTGCTTGTATGTTGGGACATGGTACGCTGTGTACCAGGCTATTCTTGAGCTTACTATGTAGTGAAGAAGGCCTTCAACCCTTGATCCTCCTGCCTCTACCTCTTTTTAAGTTCAATGATAGCTTAGGGCTTATGAACCAAACATCCAGAGACAATTATGGCTACATTCCATATTATCTGCAGGTGAGGTGAGATGGTGTCCCAAATTTTCACTAAAATACTCAAGCATAAAATAGAAAAGGTTAGGAGTAGACAGCTTGAAACAAAACCTGAAAATATAGACAATTGTTTTAGGTGGATAATGACTAGAGGAAATGACACACACTACACGAGTCTCTCAGTGGTTTTCATATGTGCCAAGTGATCCACGCCTGGAATCCCAGCACTTAGAAAATTGACACAGAAGGATAGCCTAGGCTGCAGGCTGAGACCCTCTCTCCAAAAAAACGGGGAGGTTGTATCTGAAATTTTCCATACTTATAAAAATACTTTTTGCTACCCTAGCACTTGAGAGGTAGAGGTAGGTGGATCAGGAATATCAAGGTCATCCTCTACTACATAGTGACCTAGAGGACAGCCTGTGCTACATAAGACTCTATCTCAAACTACTACAGAAAAAGAGTTATCAAGCGCCTTCTCTTGAAGTCTCATTTGCTCATTCCAATATGTGAGCCCTGACTGAGACTCCAGTCCAATATGTGAGCCC